CCCCCAGAGGCCTGCCCCACCAGCCGACTTTCCAATTGGCCCCAACGACGCCCCCCATAATGACTGCGCCCACAGGGACCCCCACACGGCTTCCAAGAGGGCCCCAGAGGCTTCCCGAGAGCCCCCAAAGAACCGCAGTCAAACCACGATCCCCAGCGAGCCCCGATCCCTCCTTGCTCCCTCCATCCCTCCCCCTCCCTTTCCTTTCCTCTTCTGCCCTCCAGTCGTTTCCCGCGGCCATGAATCAAACATGAGGCGGCCGTTTGAGACGAGTCGGGCCGGGAGGAGGGGGGAGGACAAGGGGAGGCCAAGGATGTTGTTCAGTGCAGTTGAGGCCAGCGACTCCCTGCTTTTCCCCTCCTCTTCCTTCTCGTCTTCCTCGTGCCTTCATCGGGCCCTGTCGGCGGTGCCCCAGCTCCCATGCTCTGAGGAGTCGTGGGGGGGGTGGGCGTTGGGCTTCATCCGCGCTGTGATAGGCGTGACGGACATGTTGCGCCTCGGCTGATGGGGAGGCCCAGGAGTCTTCTACTTGCGGTTCACCACAGCGGCATGCACTGCGCTAGAACTTAAGCGCAAGCGCGCGATGCGCGCGCGTGCTTCTTTTCAGTATGTATAGACACGTTGATATAAGAGTGAGAGAGAGAGAGAGATCTAGAGAAGAGAGAGAGAGAGAGAGAAAAAAAAAAAAACAAAAAAAAAAAAAAACAAAACACGAGAGACATAGAGACAGGAAGCGAGCGCACGAGAGCAAGAGAGAGGTCATAACACAAACAGTTGCAAATCATGGGCGGGGAGATAGAGATGGGAGCGAGGTCCAGGGAGGACGCATGATATTAGGAAACTCAAGATAGGGCTTCAGAGACGTGGAAATAAATGTACGTATCTGTATCAATAGACACATCTACAGGTATGGGAGATCTCGGGCCAGGGCTACACCGAGGTACCCCCCATGTACGTTTCCGGGTTCCCCGCCTTGGGGGGCTTCCGAAAGCGCGCAGAGAGGGTCTCGAGACGGCCACGAGAGGCCCAAGAGGCCCTCAAGACGCCCCAAGAGAGCCACGAGACGCCCCAAGAACGCTCGAAGACGCCCAAGATAGCTTCAAGTAGGCCCAAGAGGGTTCCAAAACACTCCGAGATGGCACCAAGAGGACCCGCAAGAGGGCTATGGAGGCCACCAGCATATATAGTCCTTCAGTTGTTGTTGATGGATTCTAGATTCATCGATTTTCTGGCTTCCAATGCTCCAAGTCGGCCCATGAGGTCCCCTAAGACAGCACCAAGACAGCCCAAGAGGCCCCCTTGACGGCCCCAGTACGACCCAAGAGAGCGCCAAGACGGCCCAAGAGGCCCCCAAGATGGCCCGAGAGGTTCCCAAGACTTCCACAAGAGAGGGGCAAGAGCGGAAACCGAACGGACAGTTCGAGCCTTCCGCGCCGAAAGACGCCAATAAGCCCGGGGAGGCCCCCAAGGCGTCCCAAGAAGCCCCAAGAGGCCACCAGGAGACCTCCAAGAAGCCCCAAGAGAGGCGCCCCAGAGCCCTCCCCCCAGAAACCCGCAAGTGCCTCCAAGAACGCCCCCCAAAGGCATCCAATAATACCTCAGCATGGTTTTGCCACGCTCTTTCAGTGATTATCAGGCATCCCCACGTAGGCTGCCCTGGGTCCTTCTAGTGGCTGCTCTGCGCGCCTTCCTGGAGCCGTCCTGGGCGATCGCACAACAATTGCTGGAGAAACTGCCCTGCATGCATACCTAGAGGGCGAAGTCTTGATGGCCGCTGTCTTAATGAAAAGAGTGAGCCGCGTCATAGGTAAGGTACCGTTTGGAGTGCAACATCTTGACGCTTCTCAGCAAGGCACAATCTGGCCGCAGGGATCCCCAAGGCCATGCCCAAGATGGTTTCGGCTGACTCTGGAAGTTTCGCACTGACATGAATTGTTCAATATCAGGGGACCTCCGGAGACACGTCCGAGATAGTCAGAGGGGCTCTCGAGACGCGCAGGAGATCTTCAAGACCGCTGATAACGGTCCACAAGCCACGCGCCTCCCGAAGTTTCCTCAACGTTTTTTTCGGGCGGTGTATCTTCTCGCAGCGGGATCTCGTGAGGCCTGCTTATTCAGCATTCACAGACTCATGAAGCGTCCATCAGAAAATATGCTCCTTTATGGTGATCCTTGCGTGGGTGATGTCGTGATGTCCATCAGTATCTAATCCTGTGAGGAAGGCTTTGACTGCACTAGAAAGTAAGCGCGCGAAGCGCGCGCGCTTGTGGAACCCCATGCGCGCATGTGGATCTTCATGCGCGCGGAAGCCATTTGATTGACATTTCGTGTGTGTGTGTGTGTGTTTGTGTGTGCGTGTGTGTGTTTGTCTGCGTGATTGTGTCTATGTGTGTGCTTGTGTGCTCATGTATGCATGTGGCTGTGTATGGGTATGTTTTTGCGTGTGTGCGTGTGTGTGTGTGTGTGTGCCTGCATGTGTCTGTGCGCCTGTGCGCGTGTGCCTGCACATGTCTGTGCGTCTGTGTGTGGGTGGGCTGAACCGTTCAACCCTGTGTGCATGTGTGTGGCACCGCATTCGGGTGAAATCCCACAGATGTGGAACCGCATGTCCACCCGGCCCACGACCCACCCGCCGCTTCTGAGCCCACCTGGCTTCGGGCCGATTCAGAGAGCACGTCCTCTCCCCCGGGCCCCATCTGAGCCTGCTCGGCGTCCGAGACGATCTGCGGGCATTCGACGCCACGAGCTGTCCATGACGTCGGCCGCCTGGGGACCAGCCTTTCCTCCCCGATCGTTTGGTTGATGGCCCGCCGCCGCTCCGTCGGGGCAGCGGCCGCGCGCCGGGCGGGCCGAGCGTCGCCAGGCGTCTCCGGCTGCCGGCGCCTCCTCGCGGGCCGCGCCGCCGTGCGCCAGCGCCGCGGCGGAGGGCGCCGCCAGCGAGCCGCGGGGCTCCGGCTGAGGCGCGCCCTCGGGGGCTCTGGCAGAGCGGCGGTGGCGACGACGCGCCAAAGGCTCGGGGTCCACCGAACGGTGCGGTGACGCCACCGTGTGGTGAGCCGGTGGGGATCCGGGGTGACCGCAGCGTTGGGGCTCGGGCTGCTCTCCGAGGACGTCTCGGGCGACGGGGCCTGCAGGGTCCCAAACAAGCGGCGACGGGCCGTGCGGTGAGGTCCTCCGGGATTCTGCTCACTGGGCTGGCGGGGGCTGGGGACCGGGGGGAGGGCTGCCACCGACCGCTCTTTTTTTTGTTTTTCTTTATTTCCGCTATTTGGTTTTTTATTTTTTTCACTCCTTTTCTGATCTTTTTTTTTTTTTTTTTTTTTTGTTTTTTTTTCTTGCTTTTGTTGTTTTTTTTTTTTTTTTTTTTGTTTCGTTTTTTTGTTTTTTTTTTTTTTTTTTTTTTTTTTACATTGTTTTTTTTTTTTCATTTCTTATTTTTTTATTTTATTTTTTTTTCTTCTTTCTGTTTTTTTTTTTTTATCCTTTTTTACCGCTTCGGGACCCCGAGAGAGCTGTGACCCTATAGACCCCCTCGCGTCGCGAGTAAAGATTACGAACGCTGGTTCGATTTTCCGACCGATGGGTCCTCAGACCAGGCCTTAGACAGGATCGTCAGACGCGGCCCTTTTTTTGTTTTTTTTTGTCTTTTTTTGTTTCTTTTTTTTTGGTTTTTTTTTTCTTTTTTTTTTCTTTGTTTTGTATTGTTTTCTTTGTCATTTGTTTTTGATTTCTTTTTGTTCTTTTATTTTTTGTCAGGGACAACGATCGGGGGGGATAGGCTCAGGGAGGGATGCGTCGACCCGGAATGGCCCATTCATCGCCGAGAGGGATCCGATAGCCCACCCCGCCCAGGACCGTGCGGATTGGCAATCGGCGGCTTCTCCTCCTCCTCCTCCTCCTCCTCCTCCTCCTCCTCCTCCTCCTCCTCCTCGCCGATCTATCGGCGATGTATCGCCGAATCCAGGTCGATGTTTCCCCCCCTGCGCCAGTCCCCCCCGTGTCGTTGCCCCTCAGGAGTTCACGCTGCTCGGGCACAGCTTCGGCGATTGCATGGTGGCCTGCTGAGCCACTCAGCATCCAGGCCGCGTCTGCTGCCTGGGGTTGCTGTGGCCCCTGGGCTGGGAAATCAAGACAATGCTGCAGCGGGAGCTCCATTCTGAAAGGTCAGAAAAAAGCTCGGATTGGAAAAAAACATGTTCTGTGTCAACTCGGCGGAAGCAGTGCGTGGAGGAGGCCAGGACACCCCACCGGCGTCTTCGGGGGATGGAGTAGACCAGCACTCATACTGTGCAATTGTGCAGGAGGAGGAGGAGGAGGAGGAGGAGGAGGAGGATTAGGAGGCGCAAGGGGAGCGGCAGGAGCCCAACCACCATCTCTGCCGCCGCCGCCGCCGAAGCCGACGAGCAGCAGCACGGGCCCTCCGCCGCCTCGCTGCCGCAGGCGCTCCCGAGAGGCGACGCCCCTGCCGCGCCGGCGACGCCGCGGGCCGCTCGGAGCAGGGCGCCGGAGACGGGGGCACAGCAAACGGGGGCACGGGGAACGCCGATTTCCGCTTTTGGCCATGCCCCCGTTCAGGGTGCCCTGGGCGCCGTAGACGGGGGCACGGTACACGGGGGATATGGACGAAGTTCAGGCCCCCGTTCAGCTAAGCCCCCGTTGACGAAGCCCCGATCGGAGCCCGCCGGGAGCCCAGCCCGCCCCTTCGGGCCGACCTCGGCGCAGTGCGCCGTTGCCGCGCGTTCTCCATCGACCCCCGCTCGCCGCTGGCGACGCCGCGCGCCGATGCAGGCCACCGGGTCGACCTCGGTGCAGGGCGTTCTGTCGTTCGGCTCGCGCTCTCGATCGGGCCCCGGCGCGCCGCCCATGGGCGGAAAAGGCTCGGCAGAAAAAACAGAAGGGGCGGGGGCAGAGAGGATGCCACCGGCACGGCCAGGGGAAGGCATGGCCGCAGGAGGAAGGAGGAGGAGGAGGAAGAGGAGGAGGAGGAGGAGGAGGTGCTGGTGCTTTAGATGTTGGCCGGCTTGAGGGTCCACTGCCGACTGCGTCGAACATGGATGTGGCCCGTCTGGAGAAGCTTGCTGCGCTCTGTGTCTCTGACCTGCAGGATCCGAAGAGACTGTAGGCATCTGCGTCACGCTTGCGCTGAGACGTTCCATTTGAGGCTGAGGCTGAGGCTGGGGAGCGGCCTCCACCTGTGAACACGTCTGGGTGCGGGAGGGCAGCTTCCCTCCACTCCTTCTCGGTCTTCTCGCGCTGGTCTGCCGTGGTAGAGTCCTTGCAGTGGTCTGTAGTGCTTGTCTTTGAGGGTGACCCAGATGGCCTTCTTATACTTGGTGTCTGGGCCCGTGAAGAGAGTCCATCTGCCTTCGGTGAACTTCCAGATGCAGATGTCGACCTTCATGCTCGTGGATGTGGCTCGGACCCCCAGCGCGTCGACGCATTTGCCCGTCGTGCCGAGTCTCTCGGCATCCTTCTTTGTGGCTCCGTACTTCTGGAGGTGCTGGTTGATCTCACTCGCAACTTTCTGACGCACTGCCGCTTGGACTCGTCCGCCAACGTTCAAATCATCATGTGTGAGTGGCTTCGCACTGGTCCGCCACGCGTGCATCTGGAAGCCTGCGCAGAGGGAACAAAATCTCCACCGCCGCCCATTTTCCACTTCGTCCATGCAGGAGCGCCAAAGGGGAGGTTGATCTCGCACACAGTGCACTCTGGGAGGAGGGCCAGCATCCCCTGGAGAAGGGCGTCGACGTTCGCCCGGTGGAGTAGCTGCACCCCCTGGAGCAGGAGTGTCGCTCAGTTGGTCGTCCGAGGGAACAGCTGGTTCCTGAGGTGCAAACTTTTGGGCTGCCACTCCCCACGCACTGCGGGGCTTGGGTCCTTCAGGTCTGGGCTGCGTCCGCGTGGTGGCCTCCGCCAGAGACAGCACTATCCCTGATGAGAAACTGTACGCGGTGTTGGCCGCCCCCCCTGGAAGCAGGGAGATCAGCTCGAACAAATCAGTGTCGTCCGCCCGTCCTGACAATATTCGTGACGTTCAGGAAACCTCTATCTGCTGCCCAACGCTGTAATTGCAGTGGGTCTCCCCAGTCCGCTGGAGCACGTTGAACTCTCCATATCGGCAGAACATCCTGTGCAGCCAGGACCTTGTCAGACAAGATGCCGAGGGGGGCGTCGTGGGAGGGGCGGTAGACCAAGCGGCCCTCCGCGGGCATGCTTATTGAGCGGACTCTCGCCAGGTAGGTGTCCGCATCATCCTCCCCCCTCCGCTTGAACCACTTTGGAGTGATCGCCTTCTCCTGAAGACTGGGGAATATTCCTTCGGACAAGTCCATCTTTGAAGCGTTCAACCTCCGACGTTGTGATCACCAACAACATCGTGATCTCTGACTCGTAACTGATCGCACCCTTGGTACATAGAATAGCTCGGCACAGGGTCGAGTTGAACACCAGCGAGGCGACACTCACTGGGCTCTGCGAGGCCCTGTCGTACAGGTCGTCCGCACAAAACGCCTTGACAGCCGTGAGTCGGCAGACAGAGGTCGGACACGCTGTGGCTCAGTGGTCGGAGGTCGAGGGTCGAGGTTCGATCGTGGGAGATCGAGGTTCGATGGCCAAGGTTCGATTTTCAAGGACCGAGGATCGGGGATCGTTGGTCGGAGATTGAGGGTCGGCGATCGAGTGCCGAGGATCGGAGTTCGAGGTTGAGAAGTTCAAGGGTCCGAGGTGGGGAATCGAGATTCAGAAGATCGACGCTTGAGGATCAAGATTTGAGGGTCGATAGTAAGGCTTGAGGGGTGACGACCGATGAGCGAGGACTGATGAGCAAGATACGAGAGCCGAGAATCGAGGGTCGGAGATCGAGAGTCGGCGATCGAGGACCGAGAGGCGAGATTCGAGGTTTGAGAAGTTCGAGGAACTGAGATCGAGGATCAGGATTTGAAAAGAGCCAGGTGTCTGCGTCGAGGATAGGAGGAGAGAAGTCGAGGGCGGGATAGTGAGGCTCAAGGGCCGTAGGTCGAGATGCTGAAGACTTCGCTCTCTCGCCACCTCGCGCCCGCCCCGAGACCCCCTCGGGACCTCAGGAGACTCCCAAGACGGTCTTTGGAAGGCCACGAGAGCCTTCTCGCGTGACTTGGTTTTGACTGCCTCCTCTCGGAGCCATCGTGAGACTTTCGAAGGCTTCTTGGGCCCTATCGCACCCTCCCGAGGCCCCCATTGGGACTTCCAGAGGCCCCCGCGAAGAGCCCCAAGAGGTGTGTGTCACGCGAGAGCTTCTTTGCGCGACTGGACTTTGACTCCTCTCGGGGCTCTCGTGGGACTCCCTCGGGGGTTTCTTGGGCCACGCCGCGCTCGCCCCGAGACCCCCCTGGGGACCTCAAGAGGCCCTCAAGACGGCCCGAGGAGGGCTTTCTTGGGGCGCGGTCTGGGACTTCCCTGGCCCTCTCGCGCCGCCACGAGGCCCCCTTCGGGACCTCAAGAGGCTCCGAAGACGGCCCCAGGAGGCCACGGAGGGAGTCAAAAGTGAAGTCGCGCGAGAGCTTTCTTGCGCGACTCGGCTTCGACGCCTCTCGGGGCTTTCTTGGGACCTTCTCGCCCCTCCCCCTCGCGGGCCGGTCCTACTGCGCCTCTGATCCTCCCCCTCCTTTTCGTTAATCGTATCCTCCCACTCCTCTTGTCCTCCCCCTCCTTTTTTTCCTCCCCCTCCTTACTTATCATGATATTTCTTCTCCCATTATTAGTCCTTCTCTGTATCCTTCCCCTCCTTCCTCATGTTCATCAGCCTTCTTCCTCATCCCAAGCCGTGCCGCGCTTGTCGCGCGCCACTTTGCGCACTGCTAGATCGGCACAATCATCCCTCCAACCCGTCACTCCCCTTGCTCAACCTCATCCTCCGCGCTGAGGGGTAGAAAGGGAGGGAGTCTACTCCCTGCTCCCCTTTTGGGACTTCCGTGACACCCTTCCATATCGCACAACTCGTGGTCAAATCCAATCACCGCATCGAACGTCGACTGGAACCGTTTGTAAATGCTCTGGCACATCGGTTGCTTCGTACCAGGGATCTGGAGAGACACACAACGCGGCCGGCCTGGGCGAGAGGTGGATACACATTTGGCCAGCTGTTTCCAGCGCTCGGCCCTGTGTGTGTTCCACCCTCTTGGTAGTTCAGCGCATATGCCGCACGTGCCCTGTCAGGCCTCGAATTCATCTGAACCCCGTCATACCTGTGAACCTCCGCGTCAAACTGCGATACTTCGTAGAGTCTGCAAGCCAGTATGCTTCGTAAGACCTCCTTCCTCCTCTGTCATCCCTGCTCCTCCTCATCCTCCCTCCTCCTCCCTTCTCGTCCATATCGTCCTCCTCCTCGAGGTCTCCTCCCCCTGTCCTCTTATTCCTTTCCCTCCATCCTCCACGATCCTCCTCCCTGACGAAGAGGATGGGGGGGGAGGCGAGGAGCGGGCAGGCCAAAGCCAAGGGCGCAAGCCGATCGTCCGCGAAGCTGCCGAGGACCCCAGTCCCCACGCCGCTCGGCGCGGCTCGGCTCGGCCGGCTCTCTCCCCTCGACGCCCGCGCTTCTCTCTCTCGGGCCGGGGGCCCGGAAGGAAAAGGAGCATCAGCAGCACGTTGTCGTGGGGAGCCCGCCAGCGTATTGCTCCTTCGCTCTTCGCGCCCTTCGCCCGGAGGTCTGGCACGTCTTCAGCAGTAACACGCCGAAGGGTTCGTCGCATCGGCGTGTCGTTGATGTTGTTTGGCTGGCTCCCCCAGGGGGCAGGGAGCGGGGGGGCAGACCTCTGGGGACCTCGGGTCGTCATCGAACGATCTGCGCTGTCGGAAAGTCTCGATCGTTCACGGCTGAGCGATCCGCGCAATGTCGGGCAAGATCGCACATTTCTTTCCCGACCATCCTGTGGTGTTGGGTCCTCGTTTTGAAGAGAGTGCCCCGCGTCTCACTCCTCACTCCTCCTCCCCCTCCTCGCTCCTCCTATTCCTCCCTCTCCTCCCTCCAGCAGTCATCATCATCATCATCATCATCATCATCATCATCATCATCATCATCATCATCATCATCAGCATCATCAGCATCATCATCATCAGCATCAGCATCATCATCATCATCATCATCATCATCATCATCATCATCATCATCATCATCATTATCAACATCATCATCAGCTGCAGCATCATCATCTCATCATCAGCATCAGCATCATCATCACCATCATCGTCAGCAGCAGCATCATCACCATATTCATATTCATCTCCATCATCATCATCATCATCAGCAGCAGCATCATCATCAGTAATAATCGTTGTCATCGTTATCATCACCACCATCAAACATCATGACCGTGATCATGACCATCATCGTCATCACCATCATCGTGGCCATCATCGTCGTCACTAACGTCAGCATCATCATGCTCATCATGCTCATCATCATCATCATCATCATCATCATCCTCATCATCCTCATCATCATCATCAGCATCGTCAGTATCATCGTCATCAGCATCATCATGATCAGCCGCATCATCCTCATCCTCATCATCATCATCATCATCATCATCATCATCATCAGCAGCGTCAGCATCATCATCATCATCATCATCATCATCATCATCATTATCAGCAGCAGCATCAACATCATCATGGCACTCATGCAGTGATATCGTCCTCCTCCTCGCCGTTATCGTCACCACCATCGGCACCAATTGCGGCGCACCCCTCACACGACGTTTCGTGGCCCCATAGGGAGCTCCACCTGAGGCCCCAGTGGCACCGTTCGCATGTGGGCGTCACCCCCATTTTCGGCACACCTCTCACACGCTTCGTGGCCCCATAGGGAGCTCCATCTAAGGCCTCAGTGGCACCGTTCGCATGAGGGCGTCACGCCCGTTCTGGCACACCCCTGGCGTTTCGTGGCCCCATGGGACTCCACCTGAGGCCCCAGAGGCACAGTTCGCATGTGCGCGTCACTCCTGTTTCGGCACACCCCTCACACGTTTCGTGGCCTCACACGGAGCTCCACCGAAGCCCCCAGTGGCACAGTTCGCATGTGGGCGTCACGCCCGTTTCGGCACACCCCTCGCACGTTTCGTGGCCCCATGGGGAGCTCCAGCTAAGGCCCCAGGGACACCGTTCGCATGTGGGCGTCGCCCCCGTTTCGGCACACTCCTTTCACGTTTCGTGGCCCCATCAGGAGCTCGACCCAAGGCCCCAGTGGCACAGTTCGCATGTGGGCGTCGCCCCCGTTTCGGCACCCCCCTCACACGTTTCGTGGCCCCATCAGGGAGCCCCACCTACGGTCCCAGTGGCGCAGCCTGCTTTTGGGCGTCACTCCCGTTTCGGCACACCCCTCACACGTTTCGTGCCTCCACAGGGAGCTCCACCGAAGGCCCCAGTGGCACAGCCCGCATGCGGGTGTTGCCCCATGGGAGCTTCACCTCAGATCATACTCACAATTGCGGTATTCACAACTGCATATGGTTGTTTACTCTTTTATCTTTATTTCGTCTCTTCTGTTTTCTTTTTTTCTTTTTTCTTTTCTCTTTCCTTCTTTTCTTTTACATTATTATATTTCCTTTTTTTCTTTCTTTCCTATGGTTTTGCTTGTTCTCCCCCCTTCCTCTCCGTTTTTTTCTTTTACTCTCCCCTTTTACCTTCATTTCCTTCTCCTTTCTCTCTTTCCCTTCCAGTCCCCCTTTCTTTTCCCCCCCCTATTCTCCACTCCTCCCTCTTCCGTGCTTCGCTCATATGGGAGTGCACGGCTTACGGCTCGGCGGGATAAGAGACCGGTCGCAGGAGCTCCAGGGGTTGGCGGCTCGCGCAAAATTTTGTCGTCGGAGGTATGGGTTCTGGGAGGGCATCCCCTTCTTCCCATTCCTCCATCCGTTCCGCCTCCCCGAATCTCCCGCATCCCCGAATCTCCCACAATCCTCAATCCCCGAATCTCCCATCCTCGAATCTCCCACAATCCCCGAATCTCCCATCCCCGAATCTCCTGCCCCTCACCCCCATCACCGAATCTCCCACAGTTCTCCCCCTCCCCAGCTCGGTCCTGGGGGAAGAAATATTTGGCCCAGGGCCCGCTTGCGCCAGGGCCATGTCCCCCTCTGGCCAAGGCGGAGGGGGAGCGGCTGGCAGTCCACACTTCGTTTTAGGCCGTCTAGTCTCAGGCGATCGCAAACATGGATCAAGGGGGCGTGGATCAGCGACGGGTCCCGTTTGCATCGGAAATCCCGGATTGCCACCGCCGAGCGAGGCGGCACCAGCTGCATTTTGGGGAGGGCATTTCCCCCGATCCATGGATTTGGCGACCGCGCGCCACATCCATGGATCGCCAATCCATTTTTGCGCGCCCCCGAGTTTTGGCCGTCAAGTCGGCTACACTGGCCGTGAACCTTGCTCCCAGGAGGACGCCAGGTTCGTGTCGTGTTAACACGGCGGCCACCCCGCCGTGGGCATTCAAGGTGGTTGAGCGCCACCGGCGGCCCAGAATCGGCCAATATGGAATGATCTGGCGATCAAGAAGCCGCCTGTCGTTCAAGGTTGAGCCATCCACGCGGTGTCAGAAATCAGCGACGAAGTCGTCACGACACAGACTTGACATGTGTTGGCAGCTGGGCCTGCCCCCAAGGTCGGAGAGAGCGAGTTCTGTGGTCTCTTGCAGGGCGGAGGGGATTGGACCCACCCTCCAGCAAACGTTCACAACCAGCGCATCGTCGCCCTTTACCAACGCAAGTGGGGGGGTTCGTAACCCCTCTTCCCCCCCTGCACCGGGAGAGGGGGAGTCGCACCGAAAATGGGGCCAATTACAACCACAATATGTGTCGGCCAAGTGGCCGTGAAACGCGCTCCCTCCAAGCTGGCGACAAACAGACATGTCGTCTTTTACTAACAAGACTGTTGCATTTGCTTTCTTCCTCTTACGGTCTTCTTCGTGGGGCCGTCTGAGACCGGTTCGGTGCATTTTCGGACCATCTCGCACCGTCCTAGGCGCTTGGAGCCTCTTCATAGCCTAGTGGGGCCTAAACTAGTTAAGGAGGCCCTCTTGGCCGTCTTTTGGCAGTCTTCTACGAGAATCCTTGATCAGCCTGGAGCGACCCCGTGGCTGAGATTACAGCCCCCATGTGGCCCGCTCTGACGCTCGATCCTCGATCATCGAACTTCGATCCCCGATCATTGAATCTCGATTGTGGGCCTTCCTGGGCGGCAGCGAGAACCCAGACAGCATTGGAAAGGCAGACGGCTGGGCGAGGAGAGGGCAGAAGACCGGCAGGGCAGCAGTCCAGCAGTTGACGTCAAAGCCCAGTGCCTAGAGAGGGTGCTGGCAGATTTTGGGTGGCGAGTGCGCCATGCGAAGTTTAATGTCTGTGCGACCCTGCATGTGTGCATGTGTGTGGATTCGTGCATGTTGTCTGCGGGCGCATCGTAGCGCGAGCGACAGGACCAAAGCTAAAGCTCCTGTCCATCCACAGGAGGGGGTGCAGCAGTCCGAGGCCATTCGGAGCAGTGCGGACTGGGCAAGCCAATGTGATTGCACAGTTGCGTAAAGAAGGTTCGCGCAAGGGACAACAATCATAGAACAGAGTTGTTATATACATACATGTACATACCTACACGTGTACATGGATTTTAAGTTACACCTGCATAAACAGAAGTTTATGCACATACGTATGGACACGTGGATCGAGAAGCGTGTTCCATCATATTGGACTGTCCGGTGGCGGTCGTGAAGAAGATAAGGAACCTATATACATATATATATATATATACACAGCTGGCATATTCATAGGATGTATCGCCCTCTCTTCCAGCCCTGCGCACACTGCCCCCTTCTGCACATGCCTATCCAGTCACGTGCGGCAAGTCCCACCACCGTGCTGGGTCGCGACTGTCCGGGGGGCGCAAAGGAGGCCGTCTCGTGTGACACCTCGTGCCCCGAGCTCTGAGAGAGCCGCTACATGTGACACGTTCGCGGTCGTATCGGGATTTCTCTTCTCGTCTTCGTCGTGTTCTTCCTTTTTGCCCCACCTTTGTTGGGCTCCTGTGCTCCTGTGGGGCAGTCTGGGACGTGTCTTGCGGCCGCCGTGTTGCTGTCTTTGAATAGTCTTGGGACGTCGAGTTGCTCCCTGGTGCCATCTAGGGGCCCTCTTGAGATGCCTGGAGGCCGTCTTGGAGGATTGTTGGGCCATTTGTGGGCCCTGTTGAGTGTTCTTGGGACTATATTGGAGGCCTCTAGGACCGTCTGGAGCTGAAGGGAGCCCGACAAGGTGAAGGCGTCCACATCTTTCAAAGACATTAGGGAACAAATAATACCGTGGGTCCTCTTGTGGCCCTGTAAGGCCTTCTTGGGTCGCCTTGGAGGGATCTTGGGCCGTCTTGGCGGCTTTTGTCGCCTGTCCCGGCCGTCTTGGAAGCGGGTCCATATATTTGTTGCAAAGGGTCGTGGCCTCCTGAAGCGCAAACCCACAGCTTCTACGAGGGATCGTGGCTTAGGGAGCGCAGCCCCTTGGCTTGGTCGAAGGATTGAACAAATGCAGAGACCCTATCAGCCTGCCCTTGGCAATCTACGACGCCTCAACGCTCCAGGGAACACGATGGCGGATGGCCTTCCACCATGCTCACCTACTCGAGCATACTTGTAATTCCGTCCTGCCGGCATATCACCAACATGTGGGATGAGGGGAAGAGGAGTGCATCATATCCCATATCCCAATGGTCGAAAAGTGCAGCCACTGTGCCCGCAAGGCAGGAGTCACGGCGGGCTCCAGACTAGTCTTCGTATTTCGATATTTCACTCATGATTTATTCGGAGCACCACAGCGCACCATGTTCAGGACTATGGGATGGGGGTCACTCCACTCAGCGCCTCGCGGCACGATGGAGGATACAGATGTGCATGTATGTACATGGGTGCCGGCCCAGAAGTCGATCAATTGAATCACATTGGGGGCACCGTGCGTCGGCGATTGGTGGGCACGCGCCCATTTTGGCCAAATTAAACCCCGTAGAGGCCCCAGACCCTCATGCTCCCCGCCCCCGCCCCATTCGAATAACGCCGACGTCCAGAATGTCTGCCCGCGCGCAGGGCGATCTTGGTATGCACATCAAGCTAGTGTGGTCATGTGTGATTCCCGCTGGTGTCGAGCGTAAATGGTTTCAGCTTGCAGCGTGTGTACACGAAGCACCTGAGTCCGCAGTTGCAGTGCAGCAGTTCATACGGAATGGCAGGGAGAGATAACACATTGTTGGCACCATGGGCACATCGAAGGGCTACAGGAAGATCGTTTGGAATAGGAAGAGGGTCGGAATGGAGAGCGCAAAGCCACGCGGCGGCATGCCATCCAGCGGCACAAACGCCAGAGATGTCCCGCATGGGCCCAGGAGTGTCCATGCTTTTCTAGCCATCCTGTGGTGTTGGGTCCTCGTTTTGAAGGGACAGCGGCCCGCGTTCTCATTCCTCCTCCTCCTCCTCCTCTTCCTCCTCCTCCTCCTCTTCCTCCTCCTCCTCCTCCTTTTCCTCCTCCTCCTCCGCCGCTAGGTGGCTCCCTGCGCGGCCCCTCGCCCCCCCGCAGCCGTTTTCCCGCGGGGGCGCGGGAACCCGCCATTGGGGAAGCGCCCAGCCCCAGGCGCGCATTCGTGCCTGGCGCGACGCGGCTGCAGCGGGCGGGCGCCCGCCGAGCGGCCGCCGATGCCACCCTGGCCACCTGCGAGACCCGCGGGGAGGCCCCGCTGCCACGGCGTGACCCCTCAGTCCGGGGGCGGTCGCGCTCGCCAGCTTGGCATCGCCGACTGCGAAGGCACCGTGTTGTTGCCCGTCGGCGGTTCCGCCTCGCCTCCGACGAGAGAGAGAGAGAGAGAACCTGTTGGTACGACACCACGGCTCCCGACCGCCTATGGGCCGTGGAGGGCGGAGCAGAGGCGGGCAGGATGACCGCGAAAAGGCCCGCTGGGCTTGTGTGGCTACTCGCCAGTGCGATTCTCAGTACACATTCGGCACCAACGAGCGGTGCTACATGTGCGGGCGGGATCGGCAAGGACGGCCTGGTCCCAGTGGTGCTCCGCCAGCGGGCGCAGGCGCGCGGCGCAGGTCGACCTCGGCCGCGCGGCGCAGCGCTGGCACCGCCGCTGCCGAGCCTGCCGACGACTTCGACGAGGTCACGAAGGCTAGGCGTGCACTCGCGGCCTTGCGCAGGCTACAGCTGTGAGAGGAGTCTGAGCTTCTGGCCAGCGCCAAGCGCCAGCTGGCGGCCGCGAAGGAGCGCGATCGCGCAGGCCGCATTCCTGATGATATGCTTGGGCGTGCGGTGGAACGTCAGGCGACGAAGCAGAAGGAGCACGACGCGCTGGCTACGGCTGCCAGCGACCTGCAGAGCGACCTAGCCACCAAGCAGGCTGAGCATACCACGGCCAAGTCGGAGCTGGATGCCATTCACCTGGAGGCGGCGGCAGCTCGCAGCGCGGTCATGGCGGCAGGAACGGGGGCTGGTGCGCACGCCAGTTTCGAGGAGGCCCTCGGTCGTCGTGAAAGGTCGTCGCGGCTGCTCCCGCTGCTGTCAGCGCGGATAACACGCTCACGATGCTCGACCCCGTCAGAGCCCACCGCACGGAGTCGCAGCGAGCACTCGCTATGCATGGTCGCGCGGCCGCCATGGGGGCGGCGAGTGCCACGGCCCTCGTTGCTGCAGTTCTTGGCTTATTCGCTGTCGAAGGCGTTGTCACCGCCGCCCACCCCTGGGACGCTCAGATCGAGATGGCATGTCGGGCCAGGTCCCTCAGACTACGGGTGTGGCCACGCCTACGGATGCAAGGCTGACTCTTCTCTGGGCTGCTCGCGCAGAGAGTATTGGCTGTGCATTTGGCATGCATGATGGTTCGCTGCGCTCCATCGCAAACGCATGCTTTGGGGGCTACAGATACTAATCAGATTTGATGGAACGCCTCTTCTATAAGTCCTGACATTGTCAGGCGGTTGGGGTCCGTTCGATATCCTAGGATGTTAAGCGCGCTCGGCCATTTGACATTGTGATTGAATATGGCAGGGCGGCCTCGCCGATTGGAGACTCGGTCGGGATGTCTAATACTATTCATGTTGACGCTGATGGCCCATCTGTCGGCGCTGAGCCCCCTGTTCAGGCGCCGGCTGCCGGGCTGCTCGATGCTCCGACCGTTTGCTTCGTCGCCCCCCCCCCCCCCCCACCCAACCCCCCCCCCCCCCCACACACGTTTGCTTCTGCCCGCGTCAAGCCCACCCGTCCATGGAGAAGAGCGAAGAAGAAGGGGGGAGAGGAGACCTTTGCATTTCGCCATGCTTAAGGCGAGCAGTTGGCTTGAACTTCGAGGTGTCTCGGGCGATCGCCGACTTGTAGCCGGCGGCGGCCCAGCTCTCGCACAGGGCGGCCGTTGGTCCTAACCGCTTTCGTTCGCGACACTGGTCACGAGTCTCTCGAGGAACTTTGGCTACGATGGGCTACTTCCCACACGCTTGCGAAGCGTTTGGCTGTTGGCCCGCTTGCCTGACAGATGCCCATGTTGTTTTATTGTGGAAGCCAGCGGGTGGGCATAGGCACGCCGCTCTTCTCAGTTGAACCAATCGTGCATGGGCCAAGGCTAGATCGAGCTGGGCCAGGTGATTGACGAGCCAGCTACACCGCCCCTTTCTTGGCGCTCGGTGCTCAGCGCTCGACGACGGACGTCGCGTCTCGTGCCCCAGGCGATTTTGCAGGTGCCTGTGGTGACCATGCGATCTCAGTACATGCCATCGCCGGCATCGCGAAATGCTTCGACAAGGTTGGCCGGGGGTTGTTGATGCGTTCGGATTCGCTACGCGGCTTCCCGGGACCAAGTCTCGCGTTGGAAATTCGCCTGCACATGGGAACTCGTCGCATCGTCTGGGGCGGCTGCGATTCATCCAAGAGTTCGGCAACTCGCGGGGTCCTCCCTGACTATGCTTGTGCCACGCTCGCCTTGCAGTGCATCATGCTCGCGCCGTTCGGTGCCTTCTGCATTCGCGCCTCGCGAACCCCGCGCACCGTGGACCTATAGGCGGACGATAGCACGGTCTCGGTCGGGAACCTCCTCAGCGGCATTGGGTCTCGGGCTATCAAGGTCCTCAAGTTGCCCCCCCACATTTCGGTCGCCTCGCCCCCCCCACCCCCCCCCCCCCCCCCGCCCACACACGCGCACGACCCACGACCACGCGCGTGCACAGCGCACACGCGCACACTCGCGCGCCGCACGCTCGCACGACGTCAACCGCCCCCGCCCCGCCCCACCAACCCCACCCGCCCCACCCCCGCGCACACAAGAGGAAACCGGACACACAGCACACAACACACACAACACACACACACACACACACACACACACACAACACGCACCACACACACACCCACACCACAACCAACACACACACGCACACGCACACGCACACGCAACTCGCACACGCACGCGCACACGAGCACACGCACACGCAGCACGCATCCGCACAACACAA